AATGCGGGTGGTGCCAGAGAGTGGTGCCCGACAAAATTACAATTTGGGGGATGTAATTCCACGGCGGAGAAATGGCCTGCACATACCGAGGCACAGGGGTACGGGACGGTTGGCATACGATGGGTGGTTAAATGTAGGTGGAAGAGTCCCTGGAAAGCCATAGGTGGGCGAGGAATGGGTAGCGAAAGGGGGAGGACACCGGGAACGAAGGTGGGAGAGATTTATCAACAGCTCGTTCCGCACTAACTAGACGCCGGAAACTCGAAAGATATTGCATCAGCGAGGTGATGATAGCGCCACGACGACTGGCATTAAATTGCATCCGGTCGTTGCAGGAATTTAGCCACCATTACGGCGTCCCTACTGATCTTCCCCCTATTTTAAGCATCCTTCGCTACCCTTATAGCTCAGGGATGGGCATCAGAGCAAGAAGATGATATTTGAGAACCCAAATAAACACGTTCTAGACGCGACATTACTGCCTTCACCCTCCACCACTCGGACCATCTTCTGAAAGTGAGTCAAAATTGAAAATTCGACGGAGATATTGGTTCTCATTAAAAATGTAAATTTTGGTTGACGAATAATGTCAACCGTTATCTTTTATAATTTTTATTTAAAAGAAAGCAAGATTGTAGTGGTTACTTCTTACAAGAGTTCCCTAGGTTTCTAGGATAAAACGATGATCCTGTCTACCTTGTTGCAAGAGACCAGGATTAGCTGTATCGAATCGGCCCAGAATACGTTGCTGGTTCTACCTAGGACAGAGAGCTTAGTTTTCACGGAACATAGGGAGAATCGTAAATTTTCGATTGACCCATCGACTCCTTGAATGTTTGAAGGAAGAGCAACGTTTGAACGCCGCAACCTGACCCGTGTTACAAGTCCGTTCGATACCGAGACTTCGTTAATCTTTTACATTGCGAACCAAACGCGTTTCCGGCGTGTATTTTGTCGACTTTGAAGCAGAAATGGGTTCCAAAAACTTGCTGAAGTGGTAGGATATTTTTGATCCTAAATTATGTATTGAAAGTTGCATAACTCTCGGAGATGATTCTCCTTATTTGGATCAGTTTCTGATTAGAGGTAGAAGAAAAATTCAATGATAAATTCGTTCACGTGTCGATTCTTTTATTCGCTTGATTAAAATTGTCCGCAGCGGGTTGTTCGTGAAATTTGCATCAACTTAGCGAATGGTTACGAGTCGCTTGGAAACGCAACGGAACGTACGGATCCCTGTGAATCTTTCATCGCGTCCCATTTTCCCAACTCTGCTCCGAAAATATAAAAAAACAGGGAGAAAACGACTTGGGAAGTTTCTGTTACAACGACAAAATTAAATAAAAGAAACAAATTAAATAGAATGCGTCGGCTAAATTAAATAGAATAAGAATTATTCTTTATTCTATAGTGTTTATTTGGTCCGGATATGGAGTAGTATTTTGATAAGTCAAGAAAAGAAAATTGGAGAGGAGAATTGAAACGTCAAGACGAATTACTCGTTTCAAACTGTTCTTTCTGTTCTATCGAATACAGTTAATATTATTTTTATCCTTGTGCACCAGCTCGAAATCGAATTCCAAGGGCTGTGACAGAGGTAACCTCGAAGGCTGACAAGGTTCCTGATGATGTCACGAGAAAAGGCAGAGTAATTTATCCATTTGCCGGGTCTGATCGGAGAGCAAGAGAGCTGTTCAGGGTGAGAGTGTTTCAACCTTCGATCTCAAGACAATCTCTTCCCCTTGAACGCACATCCCCTACCCATCGGCACAATCTCCTTACAAACGTTTGTTCGATCCACCCCCCCACCGGTTCCCATCGTGTCTGCTCGCGAAGCAACTACCTGTTATAGCAGTCCCGTAATTTGCATTTACACTTTAAACAAACACACCAGCCAATGACGACGTTATCGAGGTCTCTGGGAACCTTCATCGAATTACTTCACACCTACCCTCTCTGCTTCAAAGCGTTCCCTTTGTTTCTACTTCGTCTCGTTTCTCGTCACACGAACCCTCGATTCAGAGGAAATTTATATTATTATTCATCTACTTCACGATGTTTGATGTATTATTATTCTTTTATGTCACTTCTCTACGATGTTTAATGGAAACGTATCGTGATATATTGAATGCAATACGTTCCCACGATTTTCCAAGATTTTTCAAGATTATTGTAACAGGAAACATATCACTTTACTTGTTACAAAATATCTTATAAAAGCTTGTCGAATCTCTCGAACAACTTTAAAACTATCTAAGCTTGCACCTAAGAAGAGGACCACGAAGATGACTAAGATCATTTTTCCTTTTAACATCAGAGAATTTCAATTCGACCACTTCGCTCGAACGACCAAGTTACTACTCACGCTTCAGGCCACCTAAAGATAGCCGAGTATTCTAATTCGATATTCAATATTCCTCGAAAGACATCTTCCTCACTGTCTGGTTGTCGCCGAGGTAGCTGCAATCTCCTCTCTAACCGACCCTTTTCCCTACCCCGTTACATTCCCTTTACGAGCTCGATAAATTCGTGTAACGGGCAACGAGCCAACGGGACATCCCTGGCGCTAGTGGATTTTCAACGAACCTAGCTGGATTCACGGGTAAAACTAATTACGGCGTTATCGGTGGTCGCCGAACGAGTGTACCTCTTGAAACGGCTCCGAAAATCAGCTACTAATTACAGAGGTATAGGTGCGCGCACGTGCGCGGAAGAGGCGTCCCGTATGACGGTGGCGGAACGCGGCAGGTTTCGTCGTGGCACGAGTGCCACTAATTCGTATTTAAAGCTTTATCAGCCACGTGCAACAATTTCACGCTTCACAGAATCCATCTGACAGGTTGCAACGGGTTAGCAACATCGAGGCTCGTCCCCTGTTCGTGAAGGGGAGGGTTGCGAGGCAACCGCCTTAGCTCGAGCGAGTGAACAGAAAACTGCAACCGTGTCGCATCAGTCGAGCATCGCGCAAGTAATTTAACTGGCGAAGCACTCGGTTAATAGTCCTTGGTACTATATAAACAAAGCTGCCGGTTAATTAATCAATCTCGAGTCGGAGCACAGTAATGGCCCCTGAATAGATTCCAGATTAATTATCCGCCCCGTTTCTTTGAGAACACCGAGCCACGCCTGTCCACGATGCTCGGAGGAAATCTTGCCCGCGTCTAATCATTCTTTGCGAAGAAGAAATTTTCGAAACTTTCATCGCGATGAAATATCGAAACTTCGTTCCGCCAGCTGCACAATTTTTATCACGGGAACGGAAGGTCTGAAACGTTAACAAACCTGAATATACAAAGAGTGGTTGAAATCATTTGCCGAGTTTTTAATTGGTCAGCTAATTAACGCGTTGAGCGTTGCGGAGATTGTCACAGACTCCCTGTTATGATTTAAAAAGATACTAAAATGAGGAGACAGTTCCGTGCACGTTTGATATTATGGTCATAATATAAAATTATAATTAATTATCAGAATATTATTTGCTTTGAAATCAGGATCCGTTCCTATGTACATTTTAAATTAATTTATTGTTTTGACCATAAGTACTGAAAGAAAGATAAATAGTTAATTTCCGTACTAGCTAATTTCCATCGTGCCATTCAGCTCGTTCATTACGACGAATATTTCTCTTGAAGGAATACAATTTATACAAAGAAAGAACTCGGACGGTATGACGTAAAAAAGAAAAGAAAGAACTGAGTACAAGGCCTGCGTAAGGTCTGATGAAATTTACCGAACCGGTGGTCGGAGAACATTTTCAGCCGGTGTAGCGGGATACTTCTTGTCTTAGGGTAATGCAAAGGGATTTAAGGAGCATTTTTCACCCGACCAGTATTTCTTTTTTCTTTTTACTCGGTTGCTGCTAATTCACACCGCTTACGACGTGCCCCACCTTTTTCGCAGCTGCTTGTTAGATTGTTCCATCCCCCATCGCCGTTACTCCGTTCCAACCCCCGTCCTCGGTATGGCTGGGGGCGCACTTTGTTCCCTTCTAGCCTGGATGCAATTTTAATCTCGAATTCCAAGAAAATTACCTTGCCGTCAGAGCCGTTTAAGGGGCTACTAGGTGAGATTGCCCCTGCTACCTGTCAGCTGGCTTGACATATACTATATTATGCAGCGAGATCGGCTTCCCTTGAAACTATTTTCGTTTCGCCTAATTTCGCTTCCGTTATCGTTTATCGTACTACTGACTCGCGGCTGCGCCTAGACACTCCTTCCATTGGAAATCTATACAAGTTGCTTTCTATCCGTACGTCGCGCTCTTCTACACCGGAAGCAACAAATTAACGATTCAAGTATTAATAAACGTACCTGTTTGTATCCGCGACGAATACGGAACCCAGTTGGTCGGCTCGATTCCAAGACAAACGAGGAAATCAATGACGTTGCAGCATTTAATAATAATAGTAACAATAACGACTTTATTGCCACATACATAAATAGATGGACATGGCCGATGTACAGCGTACAAGCTGGATCACAATCTGATCCTTTTACAATGAACTACACTCGCGCCTCCATTTTACCATAAAACACGCACCAAAATAAACGTTCCTCTAATCGGTGTACTCAGAACCGAGCGAACAGACATATGCAGCTAAACGCGACAAGGTTTACCATCTTGTTTCGCACACTTCTTCATCGCATCAACGCTTATCGTTCATTGCTTTGGTTCAAAGGAACTGCGAATCGTTGCCTACCGACTGGCCGCGCGTAATTTCGCGCAAAGAAACCCGGTAGCGTAGAAACGATTCAGTCTAAGTGAACAGGGAGAGACAGGAACGAGGTGATGATTCGATTGCCAGCCATTATTCGACCAATAATAATTGGACAGTTTCTCAATGATATACAAGATAATTCAGGCAATTAACTGGCTGTTTTGGAAGAACTCTAACACCCTGGATCACTTCTACTGCGTCCTTCAAAGAAACTGATATGTTCAGAGCTATCTCAGAGCACACGTTCTGTTTCTTGTTCGCATTCGGATCACGAAGAGATTGAAAAAAAAAAAAAAAAGAAAATGAACGCGGTTCCTCTAGAACACGAAAACACCAGCGAAAAGCAAAGGCCTTGGGCGATCTCGGGACTTTCGACTACTGTACACCGTCACCTGCATGGATTCTACTTTTGCAACACTTTCTTCGTCACCAGTTCATCGTTCGTTAGCGTTCTCACGTAGATACTAGTGTCTTTGATCTTGCTCGATCAGATTCTTCGAGGTTGAACGTTGCTTTACTCGAATGTCTGGTATTAGCAAATTGATTTGTCCGCTTGGCAGGTACCCTCGGATCTAGCGAGAAACAGTTTGCCGTTAGCACAGGCACATAACTGATAAATGGTCGTGTCCCTTTGATTCTGATGAGAAGATGTCCTGGAGGAGTGTTGTTGTTGTTGTTCTCTCGACGAGTGCCCTTGGCTCGGACTGGCTGTTTTAAGACCCTTCATGAACAAAGCCTTTGCGTCTAGCTTGATGGCACCGTGGACGCTTTGTAGCTTCAAATCAGTTAGACAGGAAGCTGATATTTCGTTGGCCCATGATTCGATCACCACTCGTTGAGGAGCGCTGATCTTCAAGGATCTGGTCGCTGACTCTAGTCTGCAACCGATAATTTTAACACGATTACATTGTCGGAGGATTAATTATTATGTATAAGAGAGCAAAGCAAAGAAATTCTGCTGGGAAACGAAGATGCAGCTGGAAAGGAAGAAATAGGTCTAGAAGAGCTTTGTCCGTAATATCGTTCAACAAAATAATACGGAATTGAGTCGACTGCAACGTCAGACTCGCAATAATCGATTCTCCTCTCTAAGAAGTGGTAAAGCAGCGTCTTCGATCGTGCCTTTCTTCCGATACCTCCTCCCTTCAACCCCCTGTTCGCCGACCTATTGCTTGCAAGCTCCGCCAGCACGGCCGAGGATCCTCGGTATTTCATATCTGGCATAAATCCAATCCTATGAATATAATTTTCCGCGCGAGCAAAGTTTTATTGTAATCGTAAATCCGTCTGTAAATTGCCCGACACTATCAATAACCGCGGTACCGGTGCTCGATCCGTCTTTGATCGCTTCGTCCTCTTAGAAAATTCCCGACTTTCTGCCTCGTAATACACACCCTGTTGGAACGTTTCCTAGGATCGCGATGATTGCTACTTTCGCGGCCACTTCCGGGAAGTTTCAAGCCACCGACATTTCCCAGCCAAATAGCTCGATGATTTTATTTGAAATTTTAACGAAGAGCATGCTCGATCACGATTGTTTACAATTCGCGTTCAGAGTACTCTCGAATATCGAAAAATTATTAACTCGTGTTTAAACAATAAACGCAATTTTTGAGAAAATTAAAACTTTAAATATGTATCGTTTTCATTAAACGACAATAAGGAAATTGATAGAGTATAGAGGAAATATATAGTTGCGAGAAGTGGTTAATTAATCGTTACCACGGATTACACAATTCGTTTGATCGTAAGCTGGGACCGGTTTCGAATAGTGTTGTAGGCTTAACGCATTACCACGAGTTTAATCCCGTGTGAGTACCTGCTCGATTATTTATAGTCGACGAGCATCGAATACGTCTCGAATCGCTCAGTTATTTGTACACGTTTGCATCCACCACTGTATAGAGGATGATTATCGGGACGTTGGAGAAAGCCAATCGAAAATGTACCAGAGATTTGTTTAACTGGGTCAAATCCACGTTTAGAAAGGCACGGAATAAATGTAGAACAAAAACAACTACTGTCTGAGAGAAAAAAATATTCGTATATGGGTGACTGTGTCAAGTATTTACGTGAAGTAATTTAAATTAGAATGTCAAAAGTTGTAAATATATTTTAATTTAACCGGTCTAATTATTCTGAGCAAAAGCAGCATTCTCTTGATTAATCGTACAATAAGCAACAAAAGAGAAACAATTGTCTTTTTCTGATTACCTGAGGCCGCGACCCGATTCCCCTCTGACCAACGGTGTTTGAACGCTGCCCTGGAAAACGGCACCCCCGTCACCGGTTACCCTCAGCATTTCCGCCCCCACCACCACCTGCTCCCTGTCCGCCGAGAAGAGGATTCCTCCTCGAGGGTCGGTTATTCGAAACCCTCTCGACACACAGTCCACGCGATCTTCACCTGGAAATGGACAAAAGACACTCATCCACTACCATTCTCCCTTCAACGAGCGTTGTCAACGCGGCAGGAGGAAAAAAAAATGAAATTCTTCAATGAAACTCGTAGAAAAGGGAGAGGAGACGAAGAAGACCGGTGAATTGACGAGGATCAAGAATTGTGTTTTACCGATTGTTTGAGGGGGATAATGGACTAAGAGTGTCCCGACGGTAATAAACGAGCATTTTGTTCCTGTATTTATTGTACGTGCTTCGAATTGATGCGTTGCTTGCGTTTAAATTCACGCGCCAGACAACCGAGAATTAATTTGAATCGCCGAAGAGTTTCGATGTTCTCGTCGAAGATATTTAATAGAGATACGAAGCGTTCTAGCTTATCATCTTCTGCCTTATTTCTGTGCAATGCAGAAGCGATCAATTGTCATTTGAAAGGTAGTAATTATACAAGACGATATGGCAGTTCAGAAGAATCTCTTTCGCGTCTTTCTCCGACAATTGAATAACTTTTATTCACGATCACGGAGCGTTTAGAATACTGATTGTCATCGACAACGATGTACCTTCAACTTCGTTGATTGTTGAACGATTTGTTTCATAGCCGTAAAAAAAAAAAGCCGATGCAACTGGAAGTGGAACGTTCCTGTCCATTAACAGAGACACATTTAACGGTGTGCGTTATCGAGGTTCGGTTTTGTTCTTTTGTTCCCTGCGAGGACACGAAACAAAATATCTGGTTCCATTACAGAAAAGGGGTGTTCGTTTACCTTGAAAGTTTTTCAAGCGAAAGGACTTTGAAGATAATGATCGTCGCGGTACAATTTTTTATCTTTATCGTGTAACACATTTCAGGAATTTGTTTTATCATTGGTTTCTTATCACTGCGTTGAAATTCAAATTCATTTTAGCGACTCTATACCGAGCATCCTAGTTAGAAGATTCAAACTGATCGACGGTATCGACCTTGTCTTATAATAGTAAGTCGGATTCGTGGCCGAAATTTCGGGTCAGATATAATAGGAATAGCATTCGCGCAATTATTGACAGGACAAGAATAAGACGGACGAGGTCATTCTACGTGGTGACGATCCATTATTTAAGCGTAATTGAAATGGGAAGTTTTAAAATATAGGAAATGGGCGAAATTGGTATTGATTTCAATATGTCAATTACTGCAAGGATGGAATAATTAAAACATGAAGATGGAAAGACCAATATGAATGCTGTTAAAATTACATTGGATAAAAAAGTTATAAATTAAGATTCTTAATAATTCATACTACTGTACGTCGTCTCAGACATGGCAGATATAAATTATCAAAGGTAAAGGGTACTTTCTTGCAGTGAAATTTCTTCCATTGAACTACAAGCTGAAACGATTGTCTTTTAAATGAAAGTATAAATGAAAGGCTGTTGTTCTCACCAACTGTGAATCGCGCGAGTAGTCGGCCATCGTGCGACCTAGCAGAAGCAGTGAAGTTGCTCCAAGACTCGAGAACCAGATTCTTTCCTCGTCTGGATCTGAGGCTGGAGGCCACCAGAGCATCCAGAACGGCAGCTTGACCTCTGAGCTCGATCCCTCCGGGCACCACCTTCAGCGAGCCGATTCCCTCCTGAAAGGAGAGGAAATGACTGTCAGGAAATAAACGAGCCTCTTCGTCGCGGCTTTTCTGGGTCGACTCGGATGATCGTCGATGGAAAATAGAAGCCGTAGGCTCGCATTAAAATTCGCTCGCTGCGATTCTAACTAAGCTTCCGTTTCCCTTTTCTCATGCCCTGTTCCTCTCGTGTTCAACATTAGCAAGCGTCGATCTCGAGAAAGATCATAAAATATTTTATGATAATAAAAATTAAAAAAATATACAATCAACAGCTTCGACGTGTTAATTAACCTCTGAAACCGGTCGTCTCGATCATTCCCAGATTACACGGTGAAATGGGTATCGTCGAAAAAGCAGAAAAATTGCAAAAGGCGTTGTTTGATCTGACTTGGATCAGCTAGCGTGGATTTATTGGCGTCTGCCCAAGTATAATAAGTGGAAAGTACGGGGATGGACATCGGCGCGTGGCGATTGCTTCCAATCGAGTGGCTAATCATCGGAAACCAATGTAGGGAGTGTTCTATCAGGGCAAAGGGAGGATTTTTCGAAGCCGACGTTTCAACTCCGACCGATCTTCGTCTTCCCTTTCTTTTTTTCAACCGATCGTGAAGGGGATTGGGTACGATAAGTCGATGCTTGAAATGCAATTACCGCACGCTTATCGACGTTCGTCGAGAAACGAATCGATCATACAGGATGAACGAACGGTGAACAAGAGCCAGAAGGCGGCCTCGACGTTCTGGCTGCAATTAATGTAACGCGAAATTGAATTTCTCCTGAAAATTACGTTGCCTCGCGACCGGATAAAACCGTATACGAAAGAATATTCCCAAGTTTATGAGACGACTACGAACGGCAACCGCAATGTATGTATCTACTTTATGGCGGGTTTCTACTCGCGTCTTGCTCCCGTGGCAGTTTCTTCGCGCGAGCTTTCTCGTTCCGCTCGATACACTCGATGATACGGCTAGCTACCCTCCTCTTTCTAGCCGTGTACCCCATCGAAATAAAATTCTGCCTACGCTACTGTTCCGATATTATGCGGCAGATATTTCAAACGAGCAGACACGATGGTACGTACATATGTACAACTCGGCGCGCAACTCATCATCGCGTTTATTATTCAACCTTGTCTGAAATGGCAATGTCGGACGGTGGTAGGTATTTAATTTCGCGCTGTTGAACTGTACCCAGGAACTATATCAAAATATATCTCTTGCGTTGTAATTCATGAAAAAAAAAAAAGAAAAATTGTCGCTAAAGGCGTGCCATTCTACCGTGGAAATTTTAACACGGCTTAAAAACTGCCAAAACCATGCTGTATCAGAGAGGGGGTGCATCGTGAACCAGAATCCCATGGACAACACGTGACATGGTCAGTTCCAGATTTCCGAAATTATTATTTCCGTTAAATGGGAGAAAAATATTACTACACTTGCGTTCGTTTCATTGTTAAATATGTATCATAATCCACAAGGGGTTTCTGAAAATTTCACCAGCCGGTAAGGTCGGTTTTAAACTTCATTTCAAGCGACCATTATTTTCTACGAGCTTGTTTCGTCTGCCAGCTAATTCTTGGTTCCTTTCTTCAAAAAATTCCTCTCGCGTCCAGCGAAATAACACGCCTCTAATTTTCGTGGTTAATTTCAAACCACCTGTCTACCTGCTCGTTTCTTCCAACGAGTTTTCCTTCTAATCAAAAGAAGCACCATCGGTTACAAGAACGAATAAATACGTTTTCACGAGTTTCATCGACAAATCCTTCGTTCGCTTCCAATAACTCGACAGAGAACAAAGTTCTCTCTGTAATCTACTTACTTTCCATTCCTCTTTCTTCTTCGCTTCCACGTTAACGCGCTACGAAACAAATAATCGATAACACACCCTCGACAATCTAATAACATCCCCCTCAGCAACTTTCAATCTTCCGTTTGCTGGGATCTCGAATGAATTTTTAACCACGTGATAAATTAAAACAATCACGGTAGCCATTATCAGAGGAAAAAGGAACAGGTTCCTTGTTAGTTTCTTGTTAGCCATTTCAATTTTCACCCTCGGTTAACTTTTCTTGGTCGTTGAGTTCACTGATATGGTCGAAGATCTTCGTACAAAGTTAACGAACGTTTTAGTTATTCATTAAACTTCAGAAAAATGGTACACCGAATATATGTATAGTTATTAGGAAAAAAGATTCAATTTGTAGCGGTAGAATCGCAATTTGCTAAACGATCAAAAGGATAAAAATGCTTTAGAGAGTATAGCTTGTTACTCGACTGAACAAAGTTAAATTCCCACAACCGGAAGCGGTTACGTTGGCCCGGACGCGCATCGCTGCGGCTCTTTTCCTTGCGCCACTCGATTAGCCAAATCGTTCGGAAAACGATACGATCTCTTTTGCTCTGTACTTAACCGTAACCGTAAACCCCAATGGCGTCGAGAGGGTCATAGCAGTGGCTTCTTTTTAGAATCGTCGTACGAAAGGGATAGCGAACGTACCGCTATACGACGGTAAGCTAAAAGGACAGATGTCGTTGAACTTTTCACTGCCTATACATAGCTTCTATGATAAAGTTTCGATTGAGGATTGGCCATTTCAAGCGAGTTCCAGGCTGTTGTTCTTAGCAAAGAAAAGATGGTCAGCCTATTCGTTGATTTCCAGAACTTTTATTTTATTTGGACAATTTTCAAGGTAATGCTCAAATTCGGGACAAATTGCTGTGAGTTATTTTATAGAAAAACTATGCAAAAAATGAAGTTGCTGTTTCTGTGGTCGACGATGCGTGCTAGTCGCTTTTAATCAGAAGCATCGGTCGGAACGGACAGAGGATATAAAACAAGTGGAGCGCGAACGACGGTCGAGGAAACAGCGAAACAACGATCCGGTCGATTGGATTCGATTCAACGTGTCGAGAATCGAAGCTAATTTCGTTCGACAATGGACTAAAGTTCGCGAGCGAACTGATCGCGAGTCCATAGATTAATTTTCGTAACTGCGATTATTGGGTCCTGTTCAATTGCTTCCTTGCCATTTCCGTGAATCTGAATAGGTAGATCAGAAATAGGCCAGCCACGAAATATTCCAATTCTATTTTATTTCAAATTTCAAACAAGTGATAATTTCATAACTGTCGTAAGAATTTAATGAGCCAATTTATGCGTAACTGATGTTGATACGCTTCTCATGGCGAGTAGGGTGAACATCGTCACCAACGATTCACGAGGTGATATTTCATCCCATCTACTCGAGATTCTTAGGAGTCCCCATTGGGCGAGCAAAGTGCTCACAAGGAAAATTGGGTGAGGGGCGTAATGAAATCCAAATAACACCCCGTGCAGGCGTATATCATCGTAACGACGCCTACGGACCGTGCTGCTCGCCGACCATAAATTAATGCAAAGCGTGTTATTTATAGCTTTCGAACAACGTTTCACACGGCCAGGCTAATTTAGCACACATTGTTTGTTTCTTTCTTGATGATCGATCGAAATATGCTCGATGGAAATTCTATCGAAGCGAGTTTATATTGTTACCACTTATCTATGCACGCTCGTGAGAAAATAGGTCAGTGGTTGGATCCTTCTACTAGCCCGGTACATTACAAACTGAAGTTGCTAAAGTAGGATGAGTTTCGCAATTGCGAAAATTTTGTGCTGTTTTCTGGAGTATTCCCAGAGAAATTACTGGGGAAGGTAGATAGTTTCACACCGGAAAACGTGGACTCTATTTCAAGGAACTTAACTAGCTCTATTGGTCTTTGCCATCTGGCTAGGGACCGTCTTGTACAGTAAGTGTATTTTACGATTGTTTTTCAACGCAAAGTTCAACATAACAAGGTATGTTTCCTGTTTTTGTTTTTTTTAATAATAAATTCCTTTAATATTTTTCACCATCCTTTTACTGCAACAATAGAGCCGTTTTTACGACTTGCTCCTCGAACCGAGACGTCTCCACTGAAAATCGGTAAATTTGTAAACGTTACTAATTAAAATCCGGTGTATACATTAAAGCTTGATAAATTCGTCTTGGAAAGAATTATCATATAATCTGAAAAAAATATATATATAGTTCCATTTAATGGAATTAATTTAACTTGGCCATTATATCTCTTAAACTAACAATGCAAACATTTTTTTTATTTCGACCAAAACATAGTTACGGGATAACGGCTCCGTCGCACTTCAGCCGGGATAAAGTATCAGATTCATTCTCTATTTACCAAATGAAGTATCATCTAGCTCGTCTACATTCTAGGGTCGTTTGTTCGATATATAAATATCGAGTATTAGCCAGTAGTAGTATCGAGAGAGGAGACCTCGAAGGGAGGTGGAAAAGCGAACGCGTTTTGAGTACAGGAGGTGCAAGCAAACCCTCGAGAGGAAGGCTCTCGTTCATAGAACACGCGCTCGTAAACCGCACTAGTAATTATACATATGCAGCCGGTACGTACACCACGTTAATGCACCTCACGTAATTATCCGGAGCTGGACAGGAGTCGCCTAACTTTTGCCACGAGTAATCCGACTCGTAGCCCTGTCAACCCCTCCCGTCCAACGGGACCACCCCTGCGACTCTCTGCCACCGCGACGACATTGCAATTTCGTGTTGTTTTACGTCGCGTACGGCGCAAGGATTAAATCGCGGAGTGTACCGATGGCAGACGGTACCGGTATCCGGGATTTAGTAACGTCCGGTATGATTTCGTGGTTGGAACACGGCAATATCTGCTCCCCGGTGGCGTCTACTGCTCAAGCGACCGGGATTAATTCGCTTCCCTTCGCAAGCAAAAAAGAAACGACGTCCGGTTCATGATCTTCTGATATTAAACAATGATAACTACCTATATTATATTAAATTCGTTAAATTTAAAGGAAAAATAAAGCCCCACTTTTGTTCGGGATTCAAACGAATCTCTGTTTTCTATCCACCATCGCGATTAATAGTCGAATCAATTTTCCGCGGGCGAACGGATCGAAACGATGCAATTATCATTACCATTGGCGGGAAATGAATT